TTTTTTTTCGTTAGTACTGGATATATGACGTTGGCGAATTGACCGGTAGGACGTTGGCGAAGCGACTTAGGACGTTGGCGAATCGACCTAAGACGTTGGCGAACGAGTCGTTGGCGAAACGACTCGTTGGCGAAAGGACCGCAATTCAATACATCAGGCTGTGGCTTAGCCTGTTGAAAAGCTCCACGCATCGAGGTAAGATACACTCCTTCAGCTCCCACGAGGCCTCGTAGGGCGAGTAGACCTTTTATGACAACAAATATTCTACCTAATTAAATAAAAGGAAAAAAAAAGCCTGTACTGATTTCGAGTAAAGACTGGATTCAGTTAAAAATATATCAACCCAAGCGAGCACGTGCGAAAAGAGGCACTACAACCAAACACTTACCGTTCCATTTCTTTCTCGTCTTTCGACGAGCCTTTCGACTTCCCAATAAGTAGATCTTGTGTACTTAATTCTTTTCTTTGGCTTTACAAAGTCGACATCCGCAGATGAAATGGCATTTACCACAGAGAAGTATCCTCTCAACGGTCTATTGGACGACGCCATTTTGGTTTAATTTTCACTTTCACTGCGGTTCTCAAAGACAACAAAAAGACAACAACGCGAAGCAGCTGAAATCTGACTTTTGAGTCTGGTCGCTTGTTTGCATTGCCGGCTGTAAGTCCAACTACAAATGTCGAATTTTAACCTTGACATGCCCCTTAAGTTAAATATTCAAGCAATCGTAAGCGTTAAAATATTACAAAACGTCAGACCGCTAATATCGATGCAAATTTCTTCCCGTCCAGATTTAAAAAGGTCATGAAAATATAGACTAACACAACGGTACGAAGCATACCTTGCCGCAGGGCCTTCCCATAACACAGGGAGCAGAGGAGTCCTATTTGACCGTATTTCCAGTTACATTCACCGTACAATTGTAGCGCGAATCGATCTGTTGTTGATTAAAATCACTCAAAACAGCTCGTCGAGTACCAAACACAAACGTTAGACCGTCGTACTAAGCGGCAATCTGTCACGCAACTTTTTAATGCACTTCTCGTGACAACCCGTTGACAGCTTTCAGTTTTAGTTAATTAATGCGTAGAGACGTTTTTCGTTTATAACTTTGCTTAGATTCAATATTTTTTCATAGAAAGTTTTTTTAATGAAAGATCGCCATGAGATCCATTTGAAAAAGCGAAAAAGTATGAACATGATAGCGCATTTCACCTTGTACTAGCAAATTCTGTGCACTGCGCACTTGAGAAAAATGATTTCACCGAGAAATTTTTTACTGAACCCGTATAGCACCACTTACAAAGTTAAAGCACCTTCCTTTTTTGTTGGTTCAGTTGATTGACTGGCGATGTGTTCACGGAAACGGAAACTATTCCATGTAAATCAAGCTACTTGAGTTTAGATTGCATGACATGTGCCTTTCCTTTCGTCATTGACCAATAAAACTACAGGAGCACTTCTTTGTCTAGCCTGCGTAGCAGTCTTTTCCGTTTCCTTTCAGGCAAGCAGGAGTCGCGTGAGGGCGCGGGGACAGAGGTGACAAAAAAAATTAGTGGCAGGGGGGAGGGGCAGGGAAGGAAAGGAAAAGCCTGCTGCAGAGCCCAGACATTTTACCGAACGCCCCTAATTACTTTCGCTCCCTAGGGGCGTCAACTGTCACGTCAACTGTCACACGAAACCCAATCATATTGACTTCAGGTAAAATAAAAACCGCCACAATCTTAGCGCTAAAGTCAGCAGGGTAATTTTTCGCGGCTTGATAAATGTAGATGTATGGCATCCGATAATTGCCGTGTTTGTTAGTGCTCAAACGAAGTTTGGAAGTTTCTCTCAAAAGGAAAGATATTTATCTCGCGAAAATCTGTTCAAGCCTTCCAACAGAAAAGATTGTCGTAGAGTCGTGTTAGCCGAAGTTTTGAAAAAGACTGGTATTTCTATCGAACGTGACGAAAATTTTTCAGATCGCGTTTGCAGTCCCTGCGCAAGGAAAATCCGCAATCGGGGCAGTCTGTATGCTTTGATGGAAGGAATATCACAGAAAACTCCAGAGAAACGAAAACAGTCCACAAGAAGACTATTTGTGGAGCGAACTCCCGATGAAAGAAACAAATCTCCGAGTGGGAAGGTCCAACGCGTGAAATCTGCAGGAAAAATTGCTTCGTCTTGAAGTGAAGCTGAGTATAAAAGTGTTGACAGGCCAGACACGACTCATAAGCTCGTGGCGTGAATAGTGACCTCTAGTTATAGTGACCTCTCGTTATAGTTTTGCTCTCGCGAGTATATCTCTTAAAGATTTTCCTTTTTCGTACGAGATAAGTGGAGGTTCTTTGAATATTTCTCTAAGCAATGGTTGGTTTTGAATTAAATGCCATTTGCTCATCAAGATGTTTTTGAGGTTAGGCAACGTCGGGTGGTATGTTGTTACAAAAGGCAGAATTTTCTTTCGCACTTTAACGGTTTGTTGTAAAGCCGACTTCCCTTCAGAATTCGCTATCAAATCGATTGATCTTGCTTCTGCTATCTGGTCTTCCATTAAGCTTCGAAGACGACAGATAACTAAAAYACAGGCCGAGTCTTTCGACATTTATTCTTTGGCACGAACGAAGAATTGAAATATGGCACTTTTGCCAAAACCAGTTGGTAAAACCGCCAAAACGTCTTTTCCGTTGAAGAGGCTCTTAACGGCAGCCACTTGCTCTGGTTTTAGATTAACTGATTTCCCGCTCTGCGGGAAAACTTTAGCAGTTTCCAGAAGAGCAAATTCGAAAGAATTATCTTCGACTACGGCCATATTTGATCTGATCTGAGCTCTGCAATTGTCGTGATCGATCTATTGCGCTGGACCTATTGACAAGCTGTTGACATTGATCGTTTTGATTGACGCGCGATTGACCAATCGTTATGCCTAATTGCCTCCCGTTCGTGGACGAACGGCGTTCGGTAAAATGTATGGGCTCAGCAGCAGGCTTTTCCTTTCCCCCCACCCCTCCCCTTGTTTCTTTCTAACTTTTTGCTCTCGCCCTATTCGTTCGCGCGACTTCCCCTTGGCTCTCGCTTTCTCCCGCTTAGAAGAAACGGACAAGACTGCTACGCAGGCTATTCTTTGTCCTGCTTACAGGATTTAAAACATGACACGGAAAATAGGTTTGGCATTTTCGGCGTCATTGGTCCGGTCCGAATTATCCACAAGCGTAAGACGCAATGTCCGCTCCGAGACCTTTTCCCGTCGGCGGTGAGATTGGGGCGGTGGATAATCTTGTTCTCAGATCTCTCGTAGACGAAGCCGAAGGCCAGGTCTGCGGGGCCAAGTTGCAAAAAATGTTTCTCTTTGACTGGCTGCTAAATCTGCCTTTTAGAGATGCGTGTGCTTAGATAAAAATTGTTGGCTCGAATTATGAATATTCCTTCACGATTGTAAGTTTTTATATTTCTAAATTTAGTTTCCTGAATGCGACCAAAGCCAATTCAATGAACCAGTACTCAAACCAGGAACACCGAAACAGAGCACTCGAGCAGGTTAATAGTGAGTATGGCGTTTTGGAAGGGTGTTAACCGCTAACCGCTAAAAGATAAAACGCTTTCGGGAAGTGTGTGTGGAGGGGGGGGCGAGTATCCTATCTAGGATGATGTAACATCCTATTCAATTTCAAGCCAAGTAACAATACTCCAACTTACCTCACTGCAAGCAGAAACCGGAGTCATAACCTGGCACTAATGAGTGACTAGCCCCAGTCCAATCTCTTTTTCTTAGGATCACGACGGACTTAACTTTTATCTTCTACGTACATTGTTGTTGCCGTTTGGTCAGCAGAAATTAACGTGTGTGTTTTTTTAGTTTTTGATATTTTTTCTTTTCTTTTTCAATAGCGATTTATAACGTACTTGTCGGTGCGTGGATCACGGCATGATACTGTACACCGCGTAATTAGCCTTTCAAATGAATGTGAAAACATTTTCAGGTTCAAGGCTGTTGGCATGCAAGCCCACAAGCGGCCTTATAAACAACTATATATTTTGTCGGTGTTACTCCTCGCTTCTCTGAAATAACTGGGCCGGATTACTATAGAACCTGAAGTGCCAGATGTTGTGGAGGTAGGCTTATCCGTTGAAAATCCCTGAACAAGCATGTCAGCGATTTTATAAATGCAATGGCTGTATGGGTTCGTTTATCGTATTTGTTAGCACACTTCGACAATTTTCGATCATGTATTATGCTTTCACGTCATGTAACATGATTCACGCGCAGTCTAAATTTTCTGGTGTTGGCTCTCTTGAATCGACTCGGTAGATATTAAGAACTCGGATAGAAGGGGATTTGGTGAAAAATTTGCTGAAATAAATATTTATTCCACAAGTACGGACTAAGCTGCGGCATAAATTTGAAAACTGCGAGAACACATTCTTATTGTGTATTTTCTACTTTCCGTTTTTGTTGCGGGTTGTACAAATAAATCTTTTAGCAGTTCATGTTGGCAAAGTTTCGTCGGTGGTGGACATCAATCGGTCGCCAAGCAGCGGACGGGTTTGATTGAACTACGACTGCTTCTTACAATAAACAGTGACTAAATTCATTAAGTATAAAAATAACAGAAAAAGCCTTGCGGTAGCAGCGAAAAATCCGAAATTGTACGTTATGCGTCCTTTCTACAGTGCCCGACGAAGTGTTCAAACCAGCAGTTGACGATCGAATTCCCATATTTTTTTTGGTTTTCATTTAATTTTAAATTCAATTGTTGTTTCTCGACCAACACTCTTTAACAGTGTTTTCAGTTAATAGCAAGAAAGAAAATTAAAAAATGTAATCTTTGAATTATTAATTAAAGAAACGAACCCATGTGAAGTCTCCTCGATCGGAAATTTATGACGGAATAACTTATTAGATTAACCTGCACCAAACTTTCCTTTTGATCAGCGCCGCAGAGCAATAAGCCCTTTGCACGATCCGGTCGCTTGGTACGGAATTAATTATGCTAGGACGCAAGTTATACAGTGGGACTTTCAAAACAAAGGAATTGAAAGCGGTGCAAGTTCCTTTGTTTTGCACTGATAATTAACTCCCTTCCATGTGACCGGATCATGCAAAGCGCGTTACTTAAGCAGCAATACAATTGCCTCCTGATGCTGACTTTGTTAATCAATTTATTTTAAGTCAGAGGGACCGTGAATGAATGTGACAGGTGAACGCCATGTTTTGGAGTTTTGGTAAGTATATTTGCAAGGGTCTTTCAAGAGACCTAAGACCTAAGACCTAAGACCTAAGACCTAAGACCTAAGACCTAAGACCTAAGACCTAAGACCCCTTCCAAATCAGTCTCTCGTTTAGTTAATCGAGAAAGCCGAATCGCCCGAATTAGCACCCAAAATTGAGCCGGTGGCAAACTGGTTCAAATTTTCTCAAACTTCTCTTAACCTTAGAAATGATTAGTAGCGAAGATATAGAAATACATTTGTCAGTAGACTTGTCTGAAGTGTTTCTCTTATTTTAAATAGCTGAGGCAATTTGTATCAATTATTTTCTTCTCAAGGAACACGTGATGACCTAAAACAAGCATGACCAGTATGTACGGTATACTTGTCACTCATCTCGTCGACTTGTTCATTGTCGTTGTGGCCATTGTACTAATCATGTTCATCGTTATCATTGTTTCCGCTAGGCTTAATTCTCGCCATCTTGCGTATGTTAAATATCAGTAGTATTCACTCCTACCCACTGTACGCCATCATGTTTGACTGATGTCCTTATGCGTTATTCCATTTAACAGCATTTATTTTTATTGCTGCGTGTACGAAGAGTTTACTTGCCTTTGGTATGTATTCCCTTTCGTTGAATCAATTTTTTTTTTTTTTACCAAGATATCTATGGCTTCTCTCCAACCCCCTTACTTAAAGCAAGGTCTTAATGACATTGTACCAACGGGCGTGTTTAGAACACGAAATGGCAAAATGACTAGGGTTAGCCAAAATAACGCTCGGGTTAGCCTAAATATCACTGACTCGACAGTGGTCAGCTCTCAATAATTGAAAGGGTTAACCCTTAGAGACACCCGTAACCTATGTTGAATCTTTCCCGCAGTGCCGTTAACTGCCTTATATACTTCATCCTCTCTTGCCACAAAATTGTTATCTACTGGGGGAGACTTTATCCATTCTGTAACCGAATTGGGGATTGATGCATATTAATGCACGATGAACATTTGTAGGTACTTCAAGGTACACGGTCATACCACGAAAATAAAAGTTTTTTTTACTTTCCTTGAAATCGATCTATTTGCAGAGTGCTCAAGCAATGCTCCAGTGCCATATGGCGGTGATCGAGTAATTAGAGCTAGTGATGCCTTCACGTGCTCATGGGTAATCACAGTACCCGAAAATTACACTGTTCGACTTACCATAACACAGAAAAATGTCGATTCCATTGGAAATACGAACTGTGCTAATGACTACATTCAAGTAAGTGCCTAACTGGTACTCCCTTGTTGGAGAAATTAAGCGTTGTAGACGCTGTTTTTCAAGGGTGTACATATTGCAGTTAACTCACATTTAAACTCGAACACAGTACGGCCCACAGGACCCTTTTTCCACCCAGGCTTGCGGGCTCTCATAATTTATTGTGACGTCTCCGGCTCTGCTCAGGAATATCATTACTCCTCACATCCCACTCAGTTCACACCTCTTTCGTTAAAAAGGGATTCTGCCTTTTACCGTAGCTGGCTTCATAGTTGGTAGACCAAGTGATGTTTTTTAGTAACTCACGGAACTTGCAGGGTGCGAGATTCACGCCAAGTCCCTTTCACACCAACTAAACATGTTTAATTAAACCAGGTTTAACAAAATGAAAATCAGCAACAGACAACTGGTAGACTGAATTTTACATATGGTTCTACTAAGTGCTGGAATGGGTGCATTCGTTATGCTAAACATCAAGTCGACAAACTTCAGTTAGGAGCTAAAAATTTTCAACTGTGTTAAACTAAACAGCTTTTAAACATGTTTAAGATTTGGTGTGAATGGGGTATACTGTACCTTACTTCAGTCAGTTACACGCATACAAATGATCGAGGCATTTGATTCATTCTGCAGCTTGGCTTGTTTGCACATTTATTGTTGTTGTTGATAATCTTGATGAAGCTCCTATTCAGACCACGCTTTATTTGGTCTTCTGTGACCAAAAAAGGGGATGTTAAATTAATGACAATGAAACTTGGATAATTTGTGGCACGTCCACTACTATTTCCTGTGTGCTCCTTTAAAATGAATGATAACGTCACTTGACGACGCTATTATTTCCAAACGGCGGCCATATTGAATCCGCCAGAAAAGATTTCATAACTTTTAGAAAACATTAGATGACCACCAGAATTTGCTCAAGATAGTTTAAACCGATGAAACTTAACTTACCTTTCTACTCGACAGTGAATTTTTTTTCATTAACAGAAACAACAAGAAAATTCAAAATTTGAAAAAAGCTTTCGAAATACGGTACTTGGCCTATCATATGTCACTGCAAATTGTCTCGGATAAATTTTGAGAATAGTCGCTGAATTGAATTTGGAGTTCATTGCTTAAATGGTTCTGAAGTTAAAGGTCTTCGAAGTCGGTATACGGCAAGAGGAGATTATCATGGTTTGATATTTTGATTCGTTGATGCAATCTGAGAACTGTAAAAAAATTCGGGTAATTTCAGTTCAAAGCTTTACTCTAATGTAGTATATTTAAAATGTCACCAAGAATGTTTCCTTTTAACTAAATATTCCTATTTTTGGCTTGTTACTGCTTACAATTAAGATCCGAGATGGAGCAAGCAGCTCAAGCAGTCTCTTAAAAACGTTTTGCAACTCGAATCCGGGCCCTTCCGTGTTTCTTTCAAGTGGGACACAGATGTGGGTGGAATACAGCTCAACACAACCAAGCAACTCGTTTGAAGCGTCTTTCAAGAAGCGCCTGGACCCATCTTGTAAGTCTTTTTTTCGCCTTAGAAATATTTTGTGGTTCTGGTTGTTACTTTGCCCTTCCGTCAAAAGCCTGCGTAGCAGATGTAAACGAGGAATTTTTAAAAAAGTAGGGGAGGCGATGAATGTGATCTAGCCTTCCCAGCCTCCTTTTACTCCTCCTTTCCTCCACGTTACGCCCTCCACGCAGGCTAAGTGTCTCAGTGGGATATATATGTAGGCTTATTTGTTATTATCATCATCATCGTCGTCGTCGTCGTCGTCGTCATCATCATCGTCATCGTCATCATCATTATTATTATGATTATTATTATTATTTTTATTATCGTTTTTTGTTTTCAGATCAAGTTTTGGTTAATTCCCATTTAGATCTACTTTTCAAGGTTTTCAGTACAAATTAACACCATTGAAGAGGCAAAAAAAAAAATTCATTAATTAAAATCAAGAGTTCATCTATATCTTATAATTAGAATTTAATTCTCTGTTATTCTTTTATCTTTGGAACGCAGTTTGCCCTAACAATGTCATTTCCAACGGAACTTCAGGATCTCTGTCAAGTCCTCTCTACCCCTCAAACTATCCAAACGATATGCAATGCTCATGGAATATCACCAGTCCAGCGGGAAGCCGACTGATTCTCGTATTTTACCGGATATGCCTTGGTGTCTGCACGACTGGCGTGTCATGTGACTGTGATAGTATAACTGTAAGTGAGGTGTTCGACTCCAGGCAACTCTGTTCGGGATCTGCTGTGATTCCCTTCATATCACTGGAAAACAAGATCTCCCTGTCTATGTTATCAGATGAACTGTACTCTTTAAAGGGATTCGTAGCTGAATACCAAAGTGTATTCATTGATGGAGGTTAGTACAATACTTTATTATATGGCTAGCTCCGTAAGCCGACAAGATGAACCGAATCCTCCGCTGTGATTTATATTGGCTACCCGAGAGGCCAAGATGGCGCTACCTTGCCCACCCGAGATTACCCGCGGTGTCTCGCAAGAAAATAGTGGTTTTTTCCGATATAATAAACCCTTTATGGACCAAACTTGTTCGGCGATAATCCACATATATTAATCTATTACAAACAAAGATTTTGTTGACACGTTGAAAGAAAGCGTTATGTTTACCATTGGTCGCATTTTCTGAAAGCCAACATGTAGTTTGTTGATGTATACATCTGTAATTGGTTTCCTTTTCTTGAAATCATTAGGCTATCTACTTTTTGACAATTCTGAGCAAAAAAACCCACCGCGCGTTAAATCTAATACAATCAGATTAAGACATGAGTCTATCTGCCCAGTGTTCTATCCATCCTTTCATCGATTGCTTTATTCCTTTACTCATTAATTAATTAACTGATCATAATTATCTCTTCAATAGCATGTTCCCAAATGGTACAACTGACGAACATGAGTGGATGGTTTTCTACTCCAAATTTCCCTTCAAACTATCCAGGCAGCACACAGTGCGGCTGGAATATTTCCATTCCCGCTGGATACAAGATTTACCTTACATTCCTGGAGTTTGAACTTGAAGAATGTGGAAGCAGTTGTACATGTGACTATGTTGAAGTAAGTCTCTTTATGACATTAAAAATATATTGTTCTGGATATTCGATATTTTCTTTAAACTTAGACTGGACATTTAGATAAGCAGTAGGCCAGTCACAATATAAAACTCATATTTCCATTAAAAAACTTCGCTGCTGCTCGACTATAGCTTGTATCTATGTTGCTAGATGTTTAAACCATAGAAATGTTATGTCTTCGTCGCCAGGAAATCGCTGAGATATGGCAGGGGTAGCCTATCGTAAAAGTAGCTTCATGCTAGCTTTTACTATATGTAGATCTCGGATGGCTTTTGAGGCCCCATCAACTGAACGCTTTAGGTTTGGAAGCGTTAAAGCTGTGCACTTCAAATTTAGCAACGTTTCCTAATATTTATCTGGTATGACATGAGCATGCCCAGAGGACATGTCAATTGATTTTCCATAGAAACCGTGAGCTAGGTCAATATGTTGTTAAAAACTTTTTTTCCATCTATAAAGGTTTCTTACCACAGAGATTTCTCAAACAAGAGATGTGGTACCATACCCTCAGGGGGATGGGAAGTAAAGGATTTCTCCGGAGATAGTGTTATGGTGAAGTTCAAATCAGACAGTCGATCAAACAAAAAAGGATTTGAAGCAATATACACTTTTGTATCCTTAGATGGATGTAAGTATTGACTGATCTACACATTCACTCTGTCGGTTACACACATCATGCATACAAACGTACCGAGCCTATTACCACGAACGAACGATAGACTCTGACATGGTACGAGCGACATGATTCTCAAGTACTAAGCGCCTCTATCTTATTCCCTGAAAACTCCTTGGGTCTAGAGCTCTTTATACCATGTTAGGGCGATCTTACGTTATAAACCGTTATGACCCTGGGCGTTTCCGTGTCTTCTTTGACATTTAATTTCCTTTGCCTTCTTGACTAAATAACACAGGAGTACATAAAATAAAGCAGACATGCAATACTGCTTTTTTTTTTATTCGCTCTGATATTTCCATCGTCCAACCTTTCAGGGGACTCAATCCCTCCTGGTCATTGTCCATGGACAGAATCAGCTACAGCAGAGTCAAGAACTCCTGAAGAAGACTCAACTACTGACAGTATAAAAACAGGTAAGGTATCTCGCATGATCCAATCTCTCTGATTTCTAACTGACCAAATATGGATCGGTACCGTAATTCAAGAGGTCACTTACTTCCACCAAATGGAAGACAAGTGTGCTTCGAAGTCGACCATTGCGGTATAATTTACTGTACGTGGATTAACTAGAAACGATCTGAGAACGCGTCTGAAAAAGCATTGCCGGAAATAGTCTCAATGCAGGTTGAAAATCCAAGCAAAACTTTTGAATTCTGACAGAATCTCATTTTTTCTCATGAATCTCGTCTTCGTTGTTTTCATAGCTATTGCTCGAACGGCCCAGAGTGAAGAACCATCTACAGCAGATGATACAAATCCGAGTCTGTCCACAGCTGACAATCGCAACTCCGCGGAAAGGAGGCAGTTTAACATTGTTTCAAGTTTAGTAGTAATATGGGCAATTATTTTACTTTCTCACTGTTCGGAATAAAGCACTAGTCAAAGCAGTGGGTGCTTTTGGAAAGGGATTGACTTACAACAGTGTAGCATTAGTTGGTCGCTGATATGAGTGACCTCTGCTCTCTCTATCTCTCTCGACTCTCAAGAAATATTTACAATTTACAATTATTTCACAGTTTAATGAGATACTGAGGACTACTTTAGTTCGTGTGTAGCAACATTCTCGAGTTCATGATTGACATTCTATATAAGACATATGAATTGTTAAAAATATAACTCATCAACACTATACTGACGATTCAAAGTTTTAGTCGTTTAGTTGTCTCTTACATTGACATACTAGAATTATTTAGACATTTACAACATACTTCCATACTCTCCAGGCATCTCCAGTAAAGTTACATTTAGTTTGAAGATGTATATGGCCTTGTACTCATCTTTTGCCTGGTTAGTTGGGTGAACACGAATGTATACCTAAAAATCTGATTCATCCAAAGTAGACCCACTATTCTAACATTGTTTTGAAGGGGGGGGGGGGAAGGGGGTGCTCGGCTATTTAAATAATGACTTTCCACTTCAAAACAATGCGTCGCCAGTTGTCGTTTTGTCAAGAGTCCAAAGAACTTTTGGCCAGGATTGTAGATGCANGGGGGGGGGGGGGGGGAAGCGGGTGCATTTTGCTAGAAACGCGTCAATCTCTGTTTATTTGATTTTATTCCTCGCGTGAAGTGAGCTACAGTCCAACCAGCTTTTGGAATTGCTGACAAAGCCTTGCTTGCGTTATGGTATTGCCAATGTTCGTCTCCTCTGGTTCACTGAGTTCTTGGTCTTTTCTTTTCTTTCTTCCACTTTTTGAAGGAAAATGTATCCGATAAACCAAGCCATGATCACCAGAACTACCACTATCACTACTGCCACATTCATTCCGCATTCTTCGCTAGAGGAATCTAGTAGCGCGACAATAATACAAGAGACTATGTCATAACCTTTTGAATGAAATCATTACCTACACTGGCTCAATTTCCATATCTTTACCGTAATGACTCCAATCAGTGCCTGGGGAGTTAAATTTATTTTGAGAGCTGGAGAGAGCCTTCTAAGGACAGGGCGCTTATTTCGTTTTAGAGCTGACATCCAACTGTGTAAAACTGCGAAAGAAAAATCTTTCGATTCATTTTGCAGGAATTATCCACGCACATGGAAATAACAGTCGGGTCTCTTTGAAGACCAAGTGTTTTATTTAGGATGCGTGCATAATATAGAAGACGGTTTAGACAGTAAAGGAACCTTGATGTACTCAGAGGGTGCTGTAATACGAGGAATAGTTAGGCTTGCGGAAATGGGTGCGATTATCTGTATAGGAGGCGCTGATAAGAACAGGGTCGCTTATCGACAAACAACATTTGAAGGGAGGCGCTTTTTTGGAAAGGTGCGTTTATTGGAAGGAAAGTGTTAAATCGAATTTATATGTATCGTATTTATATGTGACGTAACTGAAACAATTATGATGTATGGACAAATCGTAGATACAAAGCACATTTAAATAATTGGCTTATCATATTGCAAAACTCGAATTTTTCGCAACAATTTCCAGTTAATTACGCGAAGAAATCAAGATACTAAATCATCAGTTTTCATCCACAGCCTCAATCTAAGGGGCACTGGGAACTAGGTCTGTTTATCCACTCAACGTCGTCTGATTTACAGACCAATAGGAAAACGGGAAAAAAAATCAGACAGGGCCTATCAGGGCTTTGTAGGCTTTGTTTCCTACCTATTTCAGTAATACAAGAGGCATTTTTACCGTCTCCATGGCAATCACCTGTCCTATTGTGACTGTAGTGAAGCACAGTCTTATTGACTTGGCCGTTATGCATCATGGGAAGTTGATGTGCGCTTGGTAACAGAAAAAACAAAATGAAACAAAAAACAGTCGTGAGAAAATTCACGGTGAATTTTTATTATTATTATTATTATTATTATTATTATTACTGTTATTATTATTATTATTATTCTGTTTTTGTAAGAGAGCAAAATTTGTTATCACGCACAATTCTCTATTTTCCAATTGCCCATAATGTACTCTGTTTGCCCCCCAAATTTTGCGTAAACTATTGTTGTGAAATACTCTTGGGAGGTCTGCATATTCCCAAGAGCATTTCACAACAACAGTTTATGCAAAATTTTGGGTGCAAACAGAGTGCACTATGGGCGATTGGAAAATAGAGAATAGGAAATACTTGAACAATTAGCGTTATTCCTAAACAAGCATAATAAAGTTGGTCTTCGTCGGAATACCTTGCGACTGCAATTTCATTTTGTATTCTTGTCTCTTCGTTGCGCCGTAAACAATTAAGCGAAAGTTTCAGATTTAATTGCCGAAATAAACAGCCATTTTATCTGCGTTTGCGCATGCTCCGTATTCAAGAACGTCAGGTAACTCGCCACAGGCCTCTAATGTGATTTGATTAATGAGTTTCTGTGAGTACATCAGCGACGTTGCTATATTTCGTTTCGTTTATATATGCAGTTCTTGAAAGTACACCAAAAGGTTTCAATAATGATGATTTTTTTTTCAGTACTTCTTTAATCGTCCTTATCTTCTGTCAAAAAATATCGTTTCTAGAGAAACTGGTGTGCAACGTCGGAAGGCAACTCCAGGACAAATTTAGTGAATCAGTTGCTAATAAATAAACAATGTGTGAAAAAGGAGTCTAGCTGAGCGCTGTGTATAAACTCCGTCAAAATCAAACCAGCAAAACCAACTGATCATTGGAGCGAAGATATATTTTTCTTTTCCCTTTTTGTGATCTTGTCTTTTTTTTTTTTTTTTTTTTCAGTTTTTTTTTTCAAATTAACTGTGTATTGCCTGTAAGTCAGTTGATTTCGAAGTTCGTGCCAGACAACACCAACAGAGGTTTTAGAGCCGAGCACATTTATAATATATGAGTTGCACTGTAGCAAAATTATTTACTATTTCTCAACTCGGGAAAGTGGGAAATAAATGAGATGTTTGGGTCCTTAATGTAATGAGTCGATCAATTCTCATTTATCAACTTACCACATGGCACAACAAACGTATCAGGGATTGATATCTGTCGATTATATTCAGACTTTGAAAAAACCGATTACAATATAAATGCAACTCTTTATCGCCTTCACGATTTTATCGGTTAATTGTAAATTGCACATTATAAAATAGTATATGTGTTATATGTGTCTGTTATTGCAAAATTTGGGCAAAATGTTACTGATACGTACGAAACTTAGCGCGGAAGAGTAAATTTGAAGACGATTGTAATAGTCTAAATGTGCGTTCAAATTTGAGTTCGAAGATTTAGGCATCGAAAGACAGTATGAAACAGTTTTCACGTGATTGTTCTCCATAGTGGTTATCGACAGTTATCTTTTAGAAGGTGGCAATCAATGTTATAAGTATATCAATATTTCCTACCTTATAGACAACATTCGCTTCCTTGCCAAAAGCCCGTGTAAAAACGAAACAATCTTTAGCCCTGAACACAAATAAACGGCTTGCTTTCAACATTATCTTGCTTTGAAAGTTTACATAATTCATGTTCGCCTAAAGCTTCGCAGCGTCAATCTTCCATTTTATAAACATCCGTTTATCCATATTAGACACAAGCAGCCACTGCGACAGTTGTCTGCGAAGTGAAATGAATTGTGATTGGGAGAAAGGTCAGCTCGCATTTGCCTCACATCATAATAAAGTACTTGGTTTGATTTTCATTATGATGTGCGAGAACAACAAAAATGAGGTATGAAAAGAGATGTTTATATCACCAAGTTGAATTTTAGATTGCATGATTCCGTTAAAGTTCTTTAGTCCGTTTCTGGCTTGTGGCGGTTGAAGTAAAATTTTAAGAATTTGGGTTAAATTCATAGAGTTAATATTTATTGGTTTTGCACTTTATAAATAAGTTATACGATACCCGCAGATCTTTCGTTGCCAATTTATTGGAAACATCTTGATAGAAAAAGTAATTGTAAGAGGACTTTGAAATATTGCTAATTAACCTGCTTGTCTGCCAGTGGCAAGATATAAAGAGTTACTTTTGCCGGTTTTGCTCTTTGCAAATACTATTAAATTATAATATACCTGAGGATCTTTTGTGGCCGCACGCTTTCTTTTGTTATAGGTTTTATTCCATTACTTCTATATTACATGTACAAGCAGGACTATACAAAAGTTATATCTTATAGAATTTATTGTTTTCTTTTTCTATTATATCAGAGAAAGGATGGGAAAACCTCTTGCTATGCATGACTAAACCGTGATTTATATCATATTTGATTTAATTCTGGGTAATCCAACTGAAATTTTGCCACAGGCTTCAACATTATCGGTGTTCCATCATGTCCACAGCCGTTTTTCATGCAAACTTCATGCTAAATAAGATAACTGGTGCCTGTGGCTTATAGAGGCTTAAACGGGGTTGGGTAAGACACATTTCCGACATCGGCCTGCAGTTAAATATAGCACATTCAATTTAGCAAATCTTAGAAATGTGTCAATTGAGAATAGCGTTAATTGAAATGACTTTAGCTTACAGTGATTATAGTTATTTTAATACTACTGGTTCTTGGTGGCAACATTCAGCAACTCTACCAAGTCTGATTTTGTAATGTTTAGATCATGCCCGGGGGGGTGGGGGGCACTGCCATATATGGGCTATATAGGTATGTGCCGCTGTGAAGGGTATGGTTTTCAAGCAGTTTACTCTAGGATAGGTTATATAAATCA